GGGGCTCTTCGAGGACACCAACCTGTGCGCCATCCGCGCCAAGCGCGTCACCGTCATGCCCAAAGGACATGCAGTTCGCCTACAGGTGAACGGAGAGCTTCAGGGCCCGATTGTCGTGCGCCATCCCAAGGCTGGCCGCCACGTCCAGTCTTCCTAACAGTACCTAAGTTTTGAGACGCTGCCCTCGCCAGTCCCCTCCGTGTTGGCAAATGAATGAAATACTGGGATTACGCTGGTAGGTAGGACACCGTTCTGGAGCCCGAGAAATGTTTCTCCCGTTTGGGAGGAACCTAAAATCGTCAGTGCCCTTGGTTGCTTCCGGGTACTTAATTCTGTCCCACTTTAAGTTAGTTCCCACAACTATTGCCATTGAAATGTAAAGTGTAGTTAATCGCACAGGCTGTTCCGCCTTACAGGCTTCAAGGTCCATGTAGAGTAAGGAAAATCCTATAAATAGAGGATTGTATGGTTTGACCAAGGAATGCTTCTGAATGGAGAGATGGAGTGTGCTGTGGCTCCCGACGACCCAGGTCTCTCCGCCCAGCTGACCGGTTAGGTGTGGAAGGAGGTTGATGGACGTGACTTAGTTTTGTTGCTGTTGTCACCAAATAAGGAAAGTTCTGCCAATGGTTTTGATTGCCCAGGGCACAATCTTGCCTCCTAGTTTCAGTGCACTGGACCCCTGTCACGGATGTCATCTCAAAAACGGGGAGAAAAACGTTCTTCGCTTTTTTTCTTGAGTGTCACGGACGACGTTGGCCGCCTGATGACATTTATGGAAATTCTGCTTAGGATAATATTTCAAGGGTATAAAATGCAAACATTGCAAAAAAAATGTTTATTCCACTTCTTATCCAAATTTCAAAAAATAATAAATTTGGTAGGAGGGATCAGTGTGTTTATATAGTTAGCACATTCCACAATGCAGTCTTTTGGAGACATCTGTGATTTCCAGTGGGTGACAAAGTCACAGGTATGGAAATTGATGGCCCAATATCGTCATAAAGGGAAATGCTAAAGTTTAGTCAGAGGCGAAGTGTATTTTTCCCCATCCCAACTCACAGGCTTCCCCCCCCTTATCAGCACCACCACCCCATCCACAGGCTCCTGATTTTTTTTTTTTCCTTGGAGGTATTGTGGCGTATATGGACTCCAGGTTAAAAGCACTTGCTCTCAAATTTGGTTGACCTACCCGTTATTTTTCAACCCGATAAAATTGGGGGGTGATGGTGGTGGGGTGGTTCGGAACTGACGGCCAAGAAAGAATTCTTGAAGACGTCTTTGGTGCAAAAACGTGATTTTCTTAAAGCACAGGGACAGGACCCGTGGGCAGGAAGAGCTGTATGGGGTCGTGACGGGTAGCTCATTATATATCCTCAGGTTGGGAGGGGGTCAGGGATAGAGTAAGTCTTTATTTTGGAAGCAAGGTTTCCGGGGCCTTGAGGGGCTGGTGTTGCAAGGAAAACGCAACATTTATCAACGTTTTAACACTCGAAGTCTATTAATATCTCATAGTAATATTCACACCCTTCAGTTGTTTCTATTTCTTGTACTTAAAATATAATTACTGCGAACCCCAGTGTAACTATGACTTCTTGGAATCAAAATAAATGCTGACAACTTATTTAACAATGACGGGCGCTCAAATGCACACTCCCCATAGTAAAATATTTTTGACTTTTGATGGGATTTTTAGAAGCTGGGTGACCCAAATGATTGTATTCATATTCAGTTGTTCCGTCTTTAACTATGTCTTCTAATTATAGGCCAAGAAAAATAACTTATCCTCTATGCTTTTGAATGTTTGGCTGAGACCCCTGCAGTAGAAGACAGTTTTCCCAAGGAAAAAAACACACAGAAATTTATTAACGTTGTTAAACAACAAAAATTCAACTGACTAAAGGTCAAATTGGCTTTTTTTCAATGATTTCTGGAGCAGGCAGCGTCCCATCTAGCAACAGAAAGTTCTGCTGCGCCATAGAAAACGAAAGGCTTTTCAAGGTGGAAAAGCAGCAGAAAAAGGAAATTATTAGCAAAGAGTGCATTGTTTCAGTCAAGGTCATCCTCCTAAAGGGATTGGCTGGGCCTACTGGCGGATTATCTCCCCAGCACAGACTAGGTTAATTGCTCCTTGAGTGGCTAAAGGTTCCACTCCCAGGGTGGGAAACCGATCGGATTAGGCGTTCAGGCTTGGTTTGCTGCCGTGGGGGTTCGCACACGTGACTCCCATCTGGGGTTTACCGTCTCTGTGACGCGTACCTCGTGTGTACACAGGAGATAACACTGGGGAAGATGAACTCCAGAGGTGCCTCGGAAGTACGGCTTAAGTACCGTCTACAGCTTGTCGGGAAGCAAAAATTCCTGTCCCCTTCAAGGGTCCTTCTAGCTGGACTAAGAATCCCATTGACGTGAGAAAAATTAGTAGGAGAAAATCAAATTAACAGCATACATATGGGGAATCCACACAGACATGGAAATTCCAAAGACAGCCAGGCCAAACAAGGCATGTTTATCATCCTGAACTAAGAAGGGGGCAGAGGTCTGGGACTAGGAAGGGAAGGAATGCATTCACAGGGCCATAGGAGCATGCTAATTCCATGTTTGTCCCGCCATGTGGATGGGTCACTCAGATCAAATTTATGGCTGCCAATAACCCTATTCTGGGAAAGACCCCCAATTTAGGTTGTTCTATGCAGTTAGTACCAAGAGTTTCTCGGAGCCCGTGGGGTCTTCACTGCCTTCAGCTCAGAATAATCTTCATGCCCAGTGGCGCATCTTGGAGCGGCCTGCCCTTGGCCCCCATGAGCCGAAGACAAAAGGTGAGGGGAAGTCAGTTATGGGAAGGTCACCAGGAGAACAAGAATGAAGTCCGTCAGGCAGATTTAAGTTGCTGCCTTCTCCGTGGATAAGGGCCGAATACTGTCTACTGGTGTGGCCAGGTGAACTGGGGAGACCCTGAGCCCTAAGACCTCGACCAAGCCCAGATCAAAGATGCCACCGAAGGCTCTTGGTCGCCTCATGAGAAAGAATTCAAGGGCAGACACAACACAGTGGATGAGAGGTACACTCGAGATGTGAGAGCCAGTGAGCTCAAGGGAGAGAGAGCATGTGTGAACCAGGGTTGAGGTTTCTATCAGTTATTGACAGTTGTTAACTAGGAGGAGGAATATTGATTACCTGGGGGCGGGGATTTCTTGGAAGCAGGGTTTTGGGCCTTTTCCTCCTCACTTGCTGGGGGGCTTCCTGGCCTGGCGCCGACCTTCTTGGGCCCCTCCAGTGTGCTGGGGCTTTCAGGGGAGTGTGGCCAGACAGGCCTCTGACCCACCCTGCAGCTGGGCACGGCCTCCTCCGCCCTGGCCTCCAGGCATCCTCTTAGAGCCTCCCTAACTGCCTGCTGTGACACTGGAATTAACCTTTCCCCTTCCTGGTAGAAAGGGAAGGAGAGACATCTTGATAAATCTACTTCCTGTTTTTAGAGCTAGAAGGGAAAAACCAAGAGCTTTTCTGATCTCTGCTTTATCTCAAATGCCTTCAGCTGAAAATAAACCTTATGCCAGAGTGGAATATTCTGGGGTGGCCTATTCTGCCACCTTTCAATACCTAATGCTAATATTTTGTTGGTATTTGTTAGTACAGAATTAGGTCAGTATTAATAAAAAACCTGAGGAGCGCCTGGGTGGCTCAGTTGGTTAAGCATCTGACTCTGGCTCAGGTCATGATCATGATCTCACAGTTTGTGAGTTTGAGTCCCACGTCAGACCCTGCGCTGTCAGCTCAGAGCTTGGAGCCTGCTTCAGATTCTGGGTCTCCCTGTCTCTGCCCGTCTCCCACTCACGCTGTCTCTCCCTGTCTGAAAAATAACAACAAAAAGGTTTTTTTTTTTTAATTAAAAAAAACTTTAAATCTGCATTGTATTTCTAAGTAATACACAGAGAACGTGTCTAAAAATTTTAAGGCAAACTAAAGCTGTCTCTTTACAATACTTCTCAGTATCGTATCTTAACTCCATCACAGGATACTATGCCCCTCGGGTCTTTTGCCTAAATTAAGACACACACTGGAAAAAAGAGCTTAAGGAAAACGTGGGACAAACGTCAGTACGAGCAGGTGAGCAGTAAAGGTCAGGTCTTGGGGCCTCGCTGGTGACATTGTCACTTTCCTCCAGTACTGCACCACTTACCTGCTGAGTTTTCATCTGGTAAGGAATGAGAAGACCAACTTCTCTGTCAAAAATTTGGTTCAGATGAACCTTTATGGATTTGTCCCGAATATTTGGTCAAGTGCACAAAGACATATATATTCAAGGTGATTGCAACATGGTTTTAGTACCAAATTTCACCAAACCTAAAACACTCACTGTTGTAAGTTAAATAGCCCATTATGTCCCAATAACCTGTTAAAAAGCAAAATTCAACCAAGTAAATCTGAAGATCTAATTGGCTTCGTTAACTGAAGATTCGTGAATTGGGCAGCATCTGAGGAACTATAAAATGGAAAGTTTTTTTTGTTTTGTTTTGTTTTTTTTAATTTTTTTTTTCAACATTTATTTATTTTTGGGACAGAGAGAGACAGAGCATGAACGGGGGAGGGGCAGAGAGAGAGGGAGACACAGAATCGGAAACAGGCTCCAGGCTCTGAGCCATCAGCCCAGAGCCCGACGCGGGGCTCGAACTCACGGACCGCGAGATGGTGACCTGGCTGAAGTCGGACGCTCAACTGACTGCGCCACCCAGGCGCCCCAAAATGGAAAGTTTTTATAGGAAGAAGGGTGGGGCAAGAAAGTTATAAACAAAAGAAAAGAAAAGATTGTTTCCGGCCAGAGCACCTTCCCTTAAGGGTAAAGTCAGGGGGTCTGTTTATGCCGATTACCTCACCTTCCTTTGGAGGATGAACAGGCCCCTGAGACAGATTATACCTCTTTGGTGCTTATCAAAAATTAATTCATGTTAATTTTAGCCATTCTGACAGGTGCGTTTGGGAAAGTATTCTAAGAAGATAATGCAAATACCCAAGGCAGTCATTTACACGAAATGTTTAAGCAAGATCAAAAACGGATAAGGAATTTAAAGATCAAGTCTAAGATCAAGAATGTTTAAGGATGATCAAGAGCAGAGGGGCCAAGGGGTGAAAGCGAGTTCACGGAGTGGTCAGAGGTCACAGGCAGAGGTCACGGGCAGAGGTCAGATCACGCCAAGCTGAGTTGTAGGAATCATCCGAAATTACCATTCGAAGCTTCGAACGTGGGAGTAGCACAACCCGACCTACATTTTTTCCGGAAGTTCACTCACACAAGTGTATTGTGAATACAAAGTTCAGAAGTAAGGCTAGAAGTTGGGAAACCATTGCCGTGGTCTGCTCGAGAGATTTGGCCTAAAGGAAACAGTACAGAGTCATGAGGCATAGGATGTATTTGGCAAGTGTAACTCACTGAGTTTGCCTGCTGAGGTTCGTTATGCACATTAAAGTACGCGTCTTTTCCATTAAAATTCTCTTGTTAGGTACCAGTCTTCCTTCCTGGTACTTACAAATGAAGATTTCCTTTAAAAATGTAAAGAATGAAGTTTATCTCGATCTATAAAAGTCAGTGAATATGAGAAAACGGCCCACATGGCATTATATTTTCATGAACTAATACACTGTAGGTTTATAGAAAACTAAATACCTTCCGCTATCACTCTCAGAAACTTTAAAGAGCCTGACCAGCCTTCCAGATCGCTGCCCACTGCCAACTTTAACAGGATGCGTTGCCAGGCAAAAACCCATGAAGCCAAAGAGGGAGGCTGCAGGTTGGTGGGAATTTTACGGATTCTTAAAGTAGACAAAGTAGGGTCTGTAAAATGTATTCCAATTAACTCATGTTGGAGAAATGCAATTAAAGGCAAAAGGAGCGGGGCGCTGGGGGGCTCAGTCGGTTAAGCATTCTTGATTTCCACTCAGGTCATCGTCTCATGGTTCTCACATCTCTCTCAGCGCTGACAGCATGGAACCTGCTCGGGATTCTTGTTCTCTGTCTTTCTCTCTCTCCCTGACCCTATCTTCTGGCTCTCGCTTTCTAGTTAAATAAATAAAGAAAGGAATAAATAAATAAATTTAAAAGGGAGGAAAAGAAAACAGTCTTTTCATTCAACACACATTAAGCCAGAATACTATGCCCATCATAGGTAATCTCCTAAAGAGACTGCAAAGGCACAGAGAAACCTTACTTTTTTCGTGAGATTTAGTAGCTAAGTGGGTACATCCCTTTACATTAGATAGGTTTTGCAGTGTGGACGCAGGTAACAGCTGAACTTGGGTCCCTTTCCTTCTCAAGAAGCTGGCAAGTAGAGGACTGTTTCCCCTGATGATTACCTTTCAAAGAGAGTAAGATCCTTGAGGAAAGTCCCTGAGTTAAGGGGCCAGCAAAAGACTTATTTAGCCATAAAAAGGCAAGAAATTCTGAAACAGAAAAAGGAAAATAGAAAGACCCTCAGGGAGAATTAGGCCTCTTATTTCCTATTTGCATTTGCCCTTGAACTAACCTATGCTATCCGTCCCCTTATAAAATATATAGAATATACCCCCCCTGGTTGAATGGGTTTTGTTTCTTCAAGTGTTGGGCAGGTGTTCTTTCATTGCCACATAAACGCAGAAAAGAAATTTAAATATCTTAATGACATTTTAAAATTATGTGTATTTCTTTTATAAAATTTAAATGGAATACTTTGGAAATACTGTCATGCAACATTTGCTAAAAGTAATTCATTGATATAAAGGGTAGCAATAAAATCATTGGATAGCAAGGGGATTACATGCTAATGCCGAAAAAAGTGTTAAAATTTCGCAGAATTTAAGCAATAGTGAAGTTGTATATATATTTTTTTCAGCCAAGTATATTTTCATAAAGATTTTCGTAGAAAGACCAAAGTGTACTTTTTTCCCCCTGCATTAGAATTGTTACTTGTTCACTAATGACAAATTAATTGCTCTTATAATTAATGAGAGCTTTTAAAAAATTTTCAAATGATATATTACCTAGGGGGGAAAAAAAAAAACCTCTACTGAGATACACGTAAAGACCTAGATGGATGGAGAGATTCAGTATTTTTCAGGTTAGGAAAACACAGTATTTGCCATAATAAATGTATAGCGAAATGCTATTTTTCTTTTTTTTATTTTTTAATTTTTTTTTCAACGTTTATTTATTTATTTGGGACAGAGAGAGACAGAGCATGAACGGGGGAGGAGCAGAGAGAGAGGGAGACACAGAATCGGAAGCAGGCTCCAGGCTCCGAGCCATCAGCCCAGAGCCCGACGCGGGGCTCGAACTCACGGACCGCGAGATCGTGACCTGGCTGAAGTCGGACACTTAACCGACTGCGCCACCCAGGCGCCCCGAAATGCTATTTTTCAATGTTACAGATATAACCTTCAGCACTGCCAGTAGACTAATCAGAGGAAACAGTGAAAACTCAAGAAATAATTTTAAGTGAAATATTCAATATATGAGCAACTAATTCCCTCGAATCAGTGGGGGAAAATACTATGTTCTACTGGTTAGCTAGCTGGTTAACTTTTTAAAAGTTAATTCTCTATACAAGAAACCAAGTCTGGATTATTATAGTTAAGATTATCTTAATGGCTCTCTTCATTATGAGTAAGATGTAGTAGGAGCTGCTGTTGAAACTGAAAACTGCTACACCTTTGCTGGAAGAGAATTTAGCGATACACCTGCAAGATCTTAAAATTATCTGTTTTACTAGCACATCTTGTTCAACATCTAGGAAGTTAGCATTTGGAGCATTATTCCCCCCGTATAACCTCACAAAATGCACAGTCTTACACACATAGTTACCAAATGCATGCATATTTGTAGAGACATAAACGGAGTATTTTCTTCCCTGTGCTCTTTAAAGTGTATCCTCTGCAGCGTTAAAGTTCCGTTGCTTAATGAGGATGGGGTACGGAACACGCTACACGGGAACGAGAGGAAATCGCCCGGGTCCTGGGTGTAAAGCGCTCCGAGAACAAAGGAGGCTCGGGTTTAGGTCCCTCCTCCAACCCAGGCGGACTTCCCGCCGCTGCCCTTCCGGTTCTCACTCCGGTCCGCAGGGGTTGCCTATAAAAGAGAGCTGGGCGCTCTGGCTGCATTCTTCTGCTCTCAGGCTTCCAGAAGATGTCAGGGCGCGGCAAGGGCGGGAAGGGCCTGGGCAAGGGGGGCGCCAAGCGCCACCGCAAGGTGCTGCGCGACAACATCCAGGGCATCACCAAGCCCGCCATCCGGCGGCTGGCCCGGCGCGGCGGCGTCAAGCGCATCTCCGGCCTCATCTACGAGGAGACCCGCGGGGTGCTCAAGGTGTTCCTGGAGAACGTGATCCGGGACGCCGTCACCTACACGGAGCACGCCAAGCGCAAGACGGTCACGGCCATGGACGTGGTGTACGCGCTCAAGCGCCAGGGCCGCACCCTCTACGGCTTCGGGGGCTAAAGTTTTTTGAAGGTTCCCGTCGCTTACCAAAAAGGCCCTTTTTAGGGCCCCCAAGTTTTCGTTAAAAGAGCTTTAGTGCTTGTCTATAAACGGGTCTCGGTAGAGCCGTTTTCAAATGCGGTTTAATGGTGATTTCTTCTGCCCGGGGAGTTCAACGTGGCCGGAGGATGTGAGTTGAGACCCAGCGGGACAGGACCTGCGCCCCCCCCCCCGACCCCTTTTCACTGCGTGGTGGCATTGCACGGCATCTGGTTATTTTTGGATCATTAGCTTAGTCCAAAGATTCTGAGAAATCTGGAACGTCCGGCCTTAAGGGCCAGGCCCACACTAACCTAACCTAACGCCGATCTTGTAAATACATTCCTTCATGTCCGATCGTGAAGAGGCCAAGCAAAGTAATGTTCCCCTTAACAGGAAAACTTGTTTGCAGAGAGCTCTAGAAGAGAATCTATCTGTCCTCTTGCACTGTAGACCACATTTCATGATTTATCCATTCCTTTCTCTGTTGGAAACTTAAATTGCTGTATTTCCCTCCAGGACCTAGCACGGCAACGGGCACTGTACTCCGCTGTACGCCTTCTCTCCTTGCTTATCTAGGAGTGGGATTGCTCACCAAGAAGATCTGTGCATATTCAACTTGGCCAGAAATGCGCAGCTTGCTTCTCAAGGTTGTGGTTTGGGCTACATTCCCATATTCCACAGGTACCGAGAGTTCCTGCTACCCCCCCCCACCCCCCGCCTGCAACATTTTGCTAACGGCAGACCAGATTTTTGCCTGTCCGCATTTGCTAAATTGTATCTCATGTATTTAAATTGCATTTCTCTGATCGTAACAAAGTTGTTTACTTTCTTACAAGATTTTTGGCTATTTTGGAGTCAGGTCTAATAATGTTGGGTTTATATTCTTAGCACTTCTGGCAAATGATGCCTGTTCGTACAGGGGTTATTTCCCTCGGTTCCCCAAAGAAATGCAGGCACAAGTGGACGAAATTTAGGCTGCTCGGGGCATTATTGGGCTTGGAGATGGAAACTTTTCTGAAATTGCTGGCAACTGATCGTCCTACTCTCTTAGTAAGCCATGATTGATGGCCCGAACGCCTAAAATTTGCAAGCCGTCATGAAAGACAAAAGGGAGAGTGACAGAGACGAAATCCTGCCTATAATTTGTTTCAATTTGGGGTAAATACCTTCCGTGGACTCTCTCGCGTAATCTTGACCGGTTTTATTATTCTCATTTTAAAATGGCAAAATAAAGGCACTGCCAGCCGAGTCAAATAACCAAGTCACAAATATATTCTATAACACGAACCTACAACGTTTTTAACCATTCTTCTCTGCTTAGCGCGGCTAGAGAAGCCGTCACCAAGAGTCGGCTGTAGTCCTAGTCCCATGAGGAAGAAATGGCAGACGTGTATCAGGACAAGTACGGGGACAGCTCGGGACTATCCCAATCTGGTCGGTATTCCGATCTCTTCTACAGGAGATCCGATTGTGGGCCTAAGAAAGTCACTTTTATCATCTCTATTCACACAGATTTCATGTTCTCTCTGGAGAGCACATAATTCACAAAGTTCAGATCAATGCTCTGCTACAGATGGGCGAACAGATGCACAGACTTCAATTTACTCAAATCAGTAGAGGCACGAGATTCCAACGGTTACTTATATGCCCCTATATCCCCCCAATACACCGCCTGTCCCTTCTCTCTCCGGCAGTGTGACAAACCAGTAAGCTAGCCACATTATTGCGAGCCCTTGTAGTCCATTTCTTTACTCAGGAGAAAAGGTAAGCTTATCGTTGCCTTGCATACCTCTCCCTCAGGGTGGTCTGGCACTGTCCCGGTCCCAAATGGGCCGGAGAGGCCAACTTTCTTCCCCCAAGCTGGATGAAAGCACTGCTCTACGAATCGAACGTCCCCTCCGGCACACAGTATCTTTCTAATTATATCGTACCGCCTGGGACATGCGATAACCGGAGGTAAAAGGCTGGCTTTGGAAGACCAGTGGGGACTGAACTTACCAATAAAAGCAGATTAGAACGCCTAACGGAGAAAAGTCACGAGACAACAGGCTGTTAGGATCGACAGGAAGCCGCTCTTGCTCACAACCAAAGGACCCACGTTCGCGCTACAGCCAAGGAATCATTTTTAGTTCACACAACACACGTATACAAACTTGTGTTACTCTCCCGTTAAGGGGCATACTAGAATGTTTGCTGCAAACCCGCAAGAGTCAACCCACAGCACATCCGGTTTCCTTCCTGCCAGAGGCGGTTGCGGGCACAGTAGGCATTACTCACTGCAATGGAATCCTCACGGTTGCCTCAAAGAAACCGCCTGAACTTGAGCCTAGATTCTAAACATGTAGTTACAGCTCTGATATTGACAGGTTAGTGGCTCTTAAAAGAGCCTTTGGGTTAGATATTCTTACTTGGCAACTTTACTTCGCGCTGGTGTACTTGGTGACGGCCTTGGTGCCCTCGGACACGGCGTGCTTGGCCAGCTCCCCGGGCAGCAGCAGGCGCACGGCCGTCTGGATCTCCCGGGACGTGATGGTCGAGCGCTTGTTGTAATGCGCCAGGCGCGACGCCTCGCCGGCGATGCGCTCGAAGATGTCGTTGACGAACGAGTTCATGATGCCCATGGCCTTGGACGAGATGCCCGTGTCGGGGTGCACCTGCTTCAGCACCTTGTACACGTACACCGAGTAGCTCTCCTTGCGGCTGCGCTTGCGCTTCTTGCCGTCCTTCTTCTGCGCCTTGGTCACCGCCTTCTTGGAGCCCTTCTTCGGAGCCGGAGCGGACTTGGCTGGCTCAGGCATGGCCGACAGAAGACCTGACGCGCCGAGAAGAGAAATGAAAACTATACTGCGGGCAAAGCGCAACTTGTCCTTTTTATGTAGAAGCCCCTATGCAAATAAGGTGCAAGTTACAGTCCTGGGTCTGATTGGTGACTAGTCAACTTGACGTCAGCAGTCAGTTCTGCCCAATCGCAACGCGAGACTCCCAAAGCTTCATTCTCATTGGATGAAATAAAGCCACCAGCTTAGCCAATGCAAAGTCTTCTTTTTCGCGCTCAATAGGGTTATAAAAAGTGCTGGCCTGGGGTTGGCTGTATCAGGTACACTCTGTGCATCTGGGGTCGTTATGTCTGGACGCGGGAAGCAGGGCGGCAAGGCGCGCGCCAAGGCCAAGACGCGCTCGTCGCGGGCCGGGCTGCAGTTCCCGGTGGGCCGCGTGCACCGCCTGCTCCGCAAGGGCAACTACGCCGAGCGGGTCGGGGCCGGCGCGCCGGTGTACCTGGCGGCCGTGCTGGAGTACCTGACGGCCGAGATCCTGGAGCTGGCGGGCAACGCGGCCCGCGACAACAAGAAGACGCGCATCATCCCGCGCCACCTGCAGCTGGCCATCCGCAACGACGAGGAGCTCAACAAGCTGCTGGGCCGCGTCACCATCGCGCAGGGCGGCGTCCTGCCCAACATCCAGGCCGTGCTGCTGCCCAAGAAGACCGAGAGCCACCACAAGGCCAAATAAGTAAGGTTAGGGAAGTCGCCAAACAAAGGCTCTTTTCAGAGCCACTTAAACTATCAAAGAGAAAGCTGGTGCACACTGTTCTGCTGTGTTTTTCGGTGACTGTTGTAAGGCCTCGTTAATCGTGGGAGACGGAAGTGTCAATTTTATGGGCGATAACTACATGCAGTCTGACCTACGGGAAGGACAAGCTGGAGATAAGGGGTAGCGGGTTTAGTGTCCAGAAGTTTCAGATGGAACCAGTCAGGCAAATTCCTGAACCCATTTTGATTACGTTATCCGTTACCAGTTTTAGGCGGCCAAAAGTACGGGTTGCAGTGACCACTTTTCCAGAAGAAATTTAGCTGTATGAATGTACTAGAAGAGTTCTGGAAAAGGACACTCTGATCCTTAGGTGCTCTAAATTCTCAGGTGATGGAATTCTTAGTGGTCTTCCCCTTTTAAGATTTCATTCCGAAGGTAGTCTGACTTACTGGTTGAAAGTACACAGAACTTCCTGAATCCCACATTGGTAAATCCTTGGTCCTATTTCTTTGGAGCCCATGTGTTCATTTAATTCACTCTTCCAGCAGCTCAGGACCCAATAGCGGATGCAACCTAGAAAATCTGCCTCCGTGGAAATTACTCCAGTAAGAGAGACAAACACAGAATCATACAATAGGTTAGGTGTCAAATATCTTGTGCAGAAAATAGAGCAGCTACACAGCATAATGGGGACCCCTATTTTAGATCGAAGGTAAGTGTAGATAACTTCTTTAAAGGTGTATCTGACCAGAGACCTACGTTATCTAAAAAAGAGATGAGCCAGGTAGATATTAGAGGAAGAGGATTACAAGTGGAGGGAACTGAACATACAGAGGCCTTAAGACAGAAGATGTGTGTGGCATTAGTTGGGAACAGTCAGCAGGCCCAGAAGACTACGGTGTTAAAGCAAGCAGGGGGAGCATAACGTAGGACTTTGGAGTATGTGGATTAATGTGGATGACTCATCAAAAGCAGTAGCAATCCTGATCTCTGAGGTAATAAATTTGATAATACAAATCAAAGTGGTCAAAATCTGTGGACCCCAACCCACTTAAAAAAAAAAAAGAGAGAGAGATACCATAAAAGTATTAATTTGTCGTGTGGTCACAAACAGCGATGTTAAGAGCACACAGTTTATAATTCAATACACACAGATTTGTTTGCTACTGAATGGAAGGAAGAAATATTCCTCTGTCCAGATTTCTTCGAGCCGGGCTAAGAACTCGATTGACATGAGACGGATTAGGAGGAGGAAAAAAATGTTTTGTGACGTGCGCGGGGAGGCCCAATAATGAAATTGACACTTGAACAGACTGTAAAGCGGGCAGTTTTCATACACTTGAGACAGACAAAACAAAACAAAACAAAACAAAAAAACAAAAAGTGAGGATTTGACAGGGTAAAGAAAACAGATGTTTGGGAATCTTAATTAGTAAGAAGTTTTAAGTAAAAGTTGGGCTGAGGTAGTCGATTGGTGAGAGACGTCACAAGGCTTGTTACTCTCAATTCACTTTCTCTGGTGATAAGTGGTCTTTTACTTTTCCGTCCTGGGAGGTGACCTTTCCTAAGGGAGATGTTCCCTGCTTCCAGGGGGACCGAAGATGGTGTGAGGTCCTCGCACCTGCTGCTTCCCAAGAAGCTCCCATTCAAAATAATCAATACGCCATAGAGGTCCATGTGGGGCGGCCTCCCGGGGCCCCCACACTGGTCCTGGTCTTAGCTCGCGGAAGCCCTACTGAATAAAGCAATAATAAAATGCCAGAGACCCAGGACAAAGATTATGGTGACAGAGCAACGCAGGTGAGGTTCTCCGGGAGCGGATGCCCAGGTGGAGTTTGGGGTACAAGATGTTATTAAGGACCAACAGCTGTGACAGGAGGAAGAGGAACTAGGACCAGACAGAGGGTCAGACCGTGCCACAGGCCAGACAAACGTGGGGGCACAGACCCCTGAGCCGCCCGTCAGCGATGTCCCACACTGGGCAAAGATCCCCCCGGCCCAGTCTGCATGGCCCCGCTTTGCTCTGTGCGGGCTGCAGGCTGCCCTGCACGAGGGCGCGGCCTTGAGCCGGGTCAGGTCCTGTCACTCGGGCAAACCCTGAAGTTGCTCGGCGGCTGTTGTAACCGCACTCGCTCTGCAGCTGGACAGCAAGGCTTCCCCGGAGGGGGGTCTGCGCCCCGCATTTGTATGTCTCTGACATACATTAACATGCATGTAAACACTGACGGTGAGCAATGTCTGTAACGGTGTTTGTAAGACTTACTTTTTAACACATATGGCTGGTATCACCTCTTTACTTTCATTGGGGAATTCAAAAGGGATGTGGTTTCTTTTTAGAGAAAGAGAAAATCTACAGACTTTCTAAAAAAATCTTTACTAATGTTGTCTACTCCCGTAAGATTGTATTAGATGCTTGATTCATCTCAAAGGGAAAGTGATATAAAACAGTTATAAGGACTACAGGGTGGGAGGGGGGGGGGGGGGCGGGCACCTGGGGGGCTCAGTCGGTTGAGTGGTTGAGAATCTGACTCTTCCCTTCGGCTCAGGTCACAATCTCATGGTTTGTGAGATCGAGCCCCATGTCAGGCTCTACAGTGACAGCACAAAGTCTGCTTGGAATTGTGTCTCTCTCTCTCTCTCTCTGCCCCTCCCTCCCTGTCTCTCTTAAAATTAAATAAATAAACTTAAAAAAAACAACAACAACAATTATAAGGACTACGGAGGATCTTCCACTGGCCCTCCCTCCTTCCTCCAGATCCAGCCAATCACCTCGCTCTCCCGGTACTGGGAAATAATCCAGCCTCACAGTGTGATGTGGAAGCTTCAAAATGAACAGTTGAGGCCCAAAGGGGAGGAGAGGGAGCCTTTCAAGAGAACATGGAAGGGAGATTCCATACGGACCACTCTGGGCTACCGATGAGGTGGGTATTGTTCTAATTCCAACCCAGAAAAGAAATGCTATGGGCTGAGTGTTTGTATCTCACCCTCACCCCCTAGTTCTTAGGCTAAAACCCTAAACTCCAATGGGATGGTACTAGGAGGTGGGACCTTTGGGAGGTGACTGGTTTCCCATGAGGTCATGAGGGTAGAATCCCCAGGATGGGATTAGTGCTCTTATAAGAGCGAGAGGGGGGCACCTGGGCACCTGGGTGGCTTGGTCGGTTAAGCGTCCGACTTCGGCTCAGGTCATGATCTCACGGTCCATGAGTTCAAGCCCCGCATCGGGCTCTGTGCTGATGGCTCAGAGCCTGGAGCCTGCAGCCTGCTTCAGATTCTGTGTCTCCCTCTCTTTCTGCTCCTCCCCTGTTCATGCTCTCTCTCTGTCTCAAAAATAAATAAACGTTAAAAAAAAAAAAAAAAAAAGGAGTGAGAGACCAGGACACCTGCCTCCCCGCAGCCCACAGAGACATCACGTGAGCACACAGTGAGAGGGTGGCCTCTACCAGCCAGGAAGCCAGCCCTCAGCCGACACTGATTCTACCGACATCTTGATCTTGTGGTTCCTAGACTCCAGAACTGCGGCAAATAAATGTATTGCTGGGGAAACTGGGGAGACCCTGGGCTCTGGGGCCTCGACTCAAGCCAGACCCAAAGGAGTCCCGGAAGGTTCCTGGTCTCGTCAGAAGGAATTCAAGGACAGACACGCTGGTTTCCCACTCTTTCCTCTTCACTTGCCCAGGGGCTTCCTGTCATGGCGCCGCCATCGTGGGCCCGTCTGGTGGGATGGGGCTTCTCAGGATTGCAGCCGGGACAGGCCTCTGACCTTCCCCACAGCTGGGCGCAGCCTCCTCCGTGCTGGCCTCCAGGCTTCCTGTGAGAGCCGAACTAAATATCTGCTCTGACATTGTTATTTAAGCCGCCAGCCTACGGTGTAGGCTCCCACAGCGTAAGCCAAGAAAGTACAGTGTGATTCAATCAGATTCTCAATTGGTAAAAGATAAATCTGTAAATCAAGATATTATCTACCTCAACACAGAACCCGTACATAACTGCCCTTCTCGTAACTACCTGGTCTTCTATACTTTGGTCTAAAGTGGGCAAACCTTGGTTGAGAAGGTTCGAAGGGACATGTTGAAAGATTTTAGCAGAGGAGTAGCGTGTAGATGGTCAGATTTGCATTAACAAATGCCAAATGAGGAGCGCCTGGGAGGCGCAGTTGGTTAAGCGTCCAACTCTTGATCTTGGCCCAGAGGGTCGTGATCCCACAGTTCGTGGGTTCAAGTCCTGCACGGACAGCGCGGAGCCTGCTTGGGATTCTGTCTCTCCTTCTCTCTACCCCTCCCCTGCTTGGGCTCACACCCGCTTTCTCTCAAAATAAATAAACAAGCTTCATAAATATATTTTTTTTAATGAGGAAGAATAAAACTAGATTTCATTATTCAAGTCACGTTTACAGTAGTCATTTCCTGAAAACGAGGATCACAGTTAATACATTCTTTTCCTCGTTCTATTCTTTATTCCTTCATCACACCTATTACTAGATGGAGTTGTTGTAACACATGGGGTATAGGGAACAATTGTAAGGTCAGATCTAATGTTTAATATCAAAGCAAAATATCTAATATTTATCCCCCAAAGTAACTACATGATTCAGACAATTAATAATGACAAAATCTCAGAGATCTACGTGGTTATGGATAATGGGGATGCTTGACTAAGGACAAAAGAATATAACTTTATACCAGGCTGACTTTGTTGACGTTGCTTCACTTATCGGGGAATCTAAACCCTATGTGTGCTGTTAATTTTTTTTAACGTTTATTTATTTTTGAGAGAGAGAGAGAGAGAGAGAGAGAGCGCCCACCAGCAGGGGAGGGGCACAGAGAGAGAGACAGAATCCAAAGCAGGCTCTGCACTATTAGCTCATAACCTGATGTGGGGCTTGAACTCATGAACCGTGAGATCACGACCTAAGCTGATCAGATGCTCAGTAGACTGAGCCACCCAGGCGCCCCCCCATGTGTGCTATTTTCAGCACCTGATAGGAGTTCTGACATTTACAAGAATGACTGATACCTACACTCACAACTGGCCATCGGCATATAAATTTAAGACCCCAGATCTCCCTTGGAATAACACAAAGGAAAATACCAAAAGAACTCTGAGGGCAGAACTGCTTGTGCAAATTAATATCGTTTGACCCCTCAAAAGCTAACCGCATTATATTCATGGTAGAATTGCTAAACTAATTGCTATCTTTGTGGAGAAATCATTGCATCCCATACTCTGCTTGCTTGAAACATTTATGAATTAATAAAACTATCAGATCAGAATTAGAAAGCCCCGTCAGGAACGGGCCCTTCTGACTTGGCCTGGTACTGTCGCTAAGTAAATCAGAAGCCTCTCTGAACATTCTAGTCAGTTTCCAAAATGTCCTTTCAGGAGATCAGTTTGCACAAAGAGATCGTATTCGGCTTGTTACGTCCCTTTCCCAGGGGAAGGAACGCTGTGTTACAGTGATCTTGTCCCCCCAACCCCGTCAACCTCCCCACTCAAGACCTAACCAGCGCCATTGCCAGAAGCAACTAGATTCTCCTTTCTTCCTGGCTTCTCCTTTCCCTCCCATTGCCTCCCCCTGGCGGAAACTACCGAGAACTCTGCTGACAAAGGAATCGAAAAAAATATAATCTCTAGCCTTCTAGCCCTCGGGATACAAAGAAAAGCGTGAGGTGGGAACAAAGACACGACAGACACACACTCATAAAGCAAAGGGTTCACCATGCATGGCCTTCTCTACATCCACGACTTCTGTTCTGCTTTACTTCTTTCTCATAACACTCTAATCACAAGGGATTGTTTACTGCTTCTAAAATAGGTGATGGCTCTTCCTGCCTCAGGACCTTTACATGTGCTGTTTTCAAGGCCCAGAGTGTTTGTCCATCTGGTCACTCTTTGCATAACCTCCTATTTTTTTTTTTTTAACATTTATTTATTTTTGAGACAGAGAGAGAGAGAGAGAGCATGAACAGGGGAGGGTCAGAGAAAGAGGGAGACACAGAATCTGAAACAGGCTCCGGGCTCTCAGCTGTCAGCACAGAGCCCGACGCGGGGCTCGAACCCACGGACTGCGAGATCATGACCTGAGCCGAAGTCGGACACTCAACCGACTGAGCCACCCAGGCGCTCCAACCTCCTATTATCCTACTATTATTTTATGTCATTTTTCATTAAAAAAAATTATCTCTTGGTGAGGTATTCCCCGAATCCTGATCCACATTACGTGTTCTGCAGCCATTCGCTGTTACTAGACCAGATTCTTAAACTCCTTATCAATTACCATATTTTACAAACACATATCTTATTGGTATTTGTGTTTAATGTCTGTAAACTTCACTAGCATGTAAGCTGAAAGAGGTCAGCATGGCAGCTAGCGTTTCACCAGAAAAAGGACGCTCGGACCGAATACTTTGATATCGTCTCATTGGCGTGTGAAGAGCAGGGAGCAAGGTGTTAAGAAGTCACAAGGGACAGAGAAGCTGATCCCTGGAGGCCGTCACCACCCCCCACCCTCCCAGCCCCAGAGGGCAACTCGAGGAAAGGGAATCTGGAGACAAAGGGTGCTCCTTCCTCTGTCTAAACTGCCAAATCCAGACGGGAAGCCGGAGGGCAAAGATTGAATTGGTCGATTCAGAGGTCAGCCCCCCTGCCGGTGAAGGAGAGGAGAGCAACTGTCTGGCCCAGCCCTTCCCCTTGTTCCCCGGCACATCCTCTTGTCCTTTCCCACATGAAAACTCTGTATTTCCAACATGGGAGGGTGAACTGGCAGCCTGCTCGCTCACCGGATAGTTTCAGTTTGTTCAGAGGCCCACCTTAAATTTAGCATGTTACCAGCTTCTTAGAAGGTGTTGGGGTAAAAAGTGAGAAATAATCAGCTGACATGATACAAAGCTACTAGGGATCCTGCTTCTGATCAGGAGGCTTAAATTAGCCATCTCACTTCCTTCTAAAAACTCGTTCCTTATCACCCTGACCTCTGCGAGCGCCTTAGCCGCATTCTTACACACATGGGGGTAAAATCTACGCCTTTATTCCCGTGGGACCCATGTCCTTTCGAGTCTTTGTTTTTTTTTTAATTGTTCCGCCACAATGTTTTTAGTGCCCAGGGCTGGTGGCAAACAATACTTAGAAGCTTCTCTCGGTTCCAGTAGTATCTTTTTCGCCCCCATTGGATAACAGACACCCAATTACTTCCTGGAAATTGGGATGAATCATCCCAGCGAGAAGAGGAACTCTTTTCTCTGCCTATTGGTTCAGTGGCATGGAGAGACTAAAATGCACAGAGGCCGTTCTCAGCCTTTAAATTTGTTGAAATTGACTAATCAATTAATTTGAAAACTGACAATGCTCCCTCCTGGACACATTTCTCTATTGGGCATGAAGACCTTCAAGCCCTCAGAGCTGAAGTTCACAGGGGTAGGATACAAAATTCTCCTAATGGATTACCGGGTGTAATGATGAGAGGGGCCTTTCTCACCTTGACCCCTTGATTCCCAGATCCGTGTATTCTGAATACAGAGGGCATGGCTTTCTGTGCTGCCCGTTGTTTTAAGGCACGGTTGGAAGGAACACCCTGTAGGACAAAAACTTGAAGATCCTCATCTCAGTTAGTGGCATAATGAGCTCCCAGAAGGCCATTTCACAGTTCTATCAAGCCACTAGCTCCTGGGTGATGCGTGCACATTATGACCGGTGAATACCATGGGTACAAGGCCATTGACTCAAAGTACGTGCCCGACTTAGAGGCACTGTTTGGGGTTCCATGATGACGGGAAGGGTATCCTGTGGGCCCGTGGACGGTGGTAGGAGCTGAAACATATAAACAAGGAAAGCAAATTCAGGCCCCAAATAGGTGCCTACCTCGTAAGGAAAAATCAGTGCTTCCTCCGTGAAAGAAGGGTCTGGTATAATCAAATCGCTAACTAGTGGCCACTTGATGGAGCCCCGAAAGTGACCCGGTAAGGACGCTCAGCAGCGACCTCTGCCGTTGGCAAGCAGGACAGTCAGCAGTGGTGGTGGCCCACTCAGCTGGGTGTTGGTGAGCGTTTGATTTGAACCTGCCCAACTCTGTACAGGGAGAATCGTGCATTCGCTGTTTGGCCGGGGAAAGAGGTTAACTGATGCCCACAGAGAGGTCACCGTT